GCTTATTCGTAATTCAATGATTGCCATGGAAATGTCACGTGATGTTTGCTTATAAAAATCACATTAAAAAATTACTTTGGTTGAAAAAGATAACACACGTCCATTCAGTGGCTTGTTGCATAAGCAGAAGAAAAGATAGTACCTGCAAAATCGAATTGCAAACGCCTATTATAAAGAATACGAAAAGTTGGCGTGGATGAGTAGGAACCATCTTTTAAACAAAGTCTTAAATGCTTGCATATATGAAAGAAATGTCAAACGTATGTAGATCTTCTATCGTTTGTTGAATTTATTCAAAATTCCAAACAATGCTCCGATTAAAAAATGGAACAGATTTGACGTCATACCCTAAATTACGTGCATTTCAGAAACCTTCCAGCAAAGGATACGACTTAAAGACTTGTTTCCGTTTACAGAAAGCGGCCTGAGAGAATATTTTATTTCATTCCCAGATTCATACGTTATGTTTGAAGTAACATCAACAACGTTTGTCCGCTTAAATCAATGTGAACGAGAAAGGCGCTTCACCACGGGTAAACGCGCAACGGCCTTTAATCTCCTGTTTTCGCACGTTTAGGAGTGAGTTGAGGTCAGTATTGTTAATATTGAAAGACTTTTTGAAATTCAAGTCAACGGAATACAGAGCTCAAAAGAAAAGCAATCAAAAGTCAAAAAAATTGGAAAATCGTTAATAACTTGAAAACTTTTCATGCTGGGTATAGGGAAATGTGGTATCAAACGAATTAGATTTTCATGTTGATTTCGAAAATGCAATAAAATGCAGGGTGCTATCCACATCGAGTAAAACCGAAGGGAAAACGATCATGATAATATTTTCTATCGATAGATCATAATATGTTGGTATGCACATTTTCAGACTTAAATAGGTAACGGTTTGCGTGAAACAGGCTGCATAAGTATTTATTTTTCTATTACGAAATAGTATATTATGCAATGAGCATTTAATGACGTCTATTATGGCACAAGTGTGAGAATTACGAAACGAGCCTTGGCGAGTTTCGTAATGAATACGAGTGTCTTTATATCCATTAAATGCGAATTTCATACCTACACTATTTTTTCTATGACTATGATGATCTATAAAGAGATGATGCTACGATGCGATGGTTTCAAAAGCGGTTCAAAATTTGATATTTTTATTGTGTGCATTGAAACGCTTTCCCGCGGAGTGTCACTGTCAAACTTATTCAAGATGACCGCCGATTGAAACGAACCACCAATTCGTTATGCCCAGCAGTGTTGTCAAAACTAATACATTTTAGATCTGTCATTGTTATGGCCCTTTGATTTTCATAAATTATGCGTCGTGTTCCCGTGATGCTGCATTTCTATATTGGTCGTAAACTTGTATCCTAATGAACACTTGTATCGAAATGACTATCATTTAAGTACAGGTGGTAAATGTTTAATATATCAATTATAGTATAGGAGTAGAAAAACGCATTTCCATGACAGAGGCAGAGCAGACTACAGCTCTCTGCAGACGGGGACAATAGTGGCGTCCAGTAGTACTAGCCATTAATGGAGGCCAGTAATTATCCCTCTATTGTCCTCGTGTGCAAGGGTATTGCCGCTCCAACGTCCAGTAAGCTACTGGCGGCCACCAAAGTCAAACAGGTTTGAGTTTAGTGGACGCTGGGAGGGCTAGTTCGGGTCACGTGACCTAGTGGCTGCCATTATTGGACGTTGCTAAATGGGTACTGGCTGCCAGTGCGTCGCCGGACTCTGCTGGGAGAGGAACTAATTCAGTGTTTTTGTTGCTAAATGTGTCCCAAACCTGAGGAAGTACTTCTGGCATAAAACTAGAAATAGTGTTTGCTGGTATTCGAAACATGATTGCTAGAGTTTGGTAACTGTCACCACTAGCCAAAAATCTTAAGGCAATCTCTAGTTTTGGACGGGCAGGAATTGCGTTTCTCATTAGCGTATCCTTTTTTTTAATTTTAGGTTCAATTAGATTTAAAAGTTTTTTTTTTTGGGTTGGATCCATCGTTCCTCGAAATGGGGGTTGAAATATATTGTGTGATCAAAACTTGTAAACCTTCCCCATATAGTTAACTATATGGGGAAGGTTTAGAGAGTTTTGATCACACAATAGATTTAAAAGTTCGTTAAATTGTCCCACACCCATTCTTAAAATTCTCTTGAATTCCAGAGGATCCTCCTCGGCAAGTTCCCGAAATATTGTTGACGAAGCTCCGAGGCGATCTCTACGACCCACCCAGTCTTTCACCCTGCACGCCCTGTTTTTGGTTAATTTCTTTCAGTTCATCACTTAAACAATGGACAGTTTCACTTATAGCTTCATCAACACCTTTCTCGTATTCTTCGTCAACCTCCTCCATGTTCAGACACATCATATTGACAATAATTAAATTACAGTAATGTAATAAGGTTGCCCGAAACGTCACCACATCCACAATGAACAGACTAATGGCAACCATTAAAGTACATAATACTGGAAGCCAATACTGCCCTCATGTGGAAGCCTACTGTTCAGCCAGTTCACTGGCTGCCACTTCTGGCCGCTAGTACTGGACGCCACTATTGTCCCCGTCTGCAGAGAGCTGTACGTTTCCTGCCGCTTGTCACTTCACTGGCCGCACCGTCACTTTACCGATACCGGCCGCCTCTGTGACATTACTAATAGTTATTTATGCAATCAGGTTTATTCTCGTGCCACTTGTTAAGCGTTTTGTTTGTTAACTGAGCAAATTTGCTACGTCTAACAAAAATTGGTATTCTGGTAGCCGTTTTGTTTGGTTAGCGTAACAAGATGCCTAGCAAAATTGCTACGATTCTTACGCCATTTCTGAATTGGCGTTGGCACTTTGTTAACGTGAAATAACTCACACTACGGCTACAGATCACGATATTTTACAGATTATTTCCTGCATGTAATAAAAGAATTAGAATATGGTTACATGTCCATACTTCAACAATTAATTCGCAAACGTCAAAATTTTACCGCGGTTAAAAATGTGTTAAAATTGTATCGCTTCTGATTTTCCCTATTAAGGTACTTAGACGAACCACAAACTTGCGGTTGCTTAGATACGAAGAGTCGAAACTGTCTGCCTAATGTGCTAATTTCGAATGCACTTCTCTTCCGCGATGTCCAGTTTTGGTGCAAATTGTTTCGCGAATACTAAAACCGCTGTGAATAGGTATTTATTCTGGAAATAACCATGCCGAATATCCCGTGTGCTTAAAAATGGCTGATTAAATTTTGTGATTTTTCGTCAAATTGTTTTGCTACGAAGAAATACTTCAAGTCAATTTTTCACCCAAAATTTTAGGATATTACTGCTGATTCAAATGCTCATGAGTCACGAGTCATGAATAGGGACGAAGGTATAAGCACCAATCTCTATGTACCATCGAGATTATTGAGGTCCAAGGCGAGTGCTTCCTACAAATCATTTTTGGAAGGAACATCTTTCTTAATATTTGCCTCAAACAGCCGCCTTTTTTTCTGCAGAAAAGCAGATATTCCTGATATTGCACGCGAGTTGTTTTATCTTGAATTAAAAAATGAAAGTCCGAAAAGAACAAGTTAATAAAATAAAATAAACTCATAAAACATATCAAACGAGATAAGAGTAGATAAGCGTGAAGAATAATAGTAACGATAACTAAAAAATATAAAAATTTACAAAAATGTTTTAGGCGAATTCAACTATTTCGGCTCCAAATTGCAGCTACTATGTCGTGGAGAACAGCAGTTAGTTAATTTATTCAGGGCTGCAATTTCTTGGAGTTCTTTCAAAAAGAAAATGTTTTTCGAACTATTTGTGCGTATTTTCGGAATATACGGACAAGAAACGGCTACATTCATGCGGTATGGCGTAGCAAAACCGTAGCCACGCCCTTACTTGTTAACTCGCTTCTAGCAAAGTGCCACCAGAATTGCAAACGAACAAAACGACTTAACAATTTGTTAAACGCGACTTAACAAATTCGTTAAACGTAGCAAATTTGCTAAAATAACAATGCCACCCCAGATAGCACAAGGACATACAGTGGACGTCCAAGAGACGTCTGTATTGATCACTTTTCCGTCCATAGCCTGTCCACAATTGGTCCAGTTATGAGATTTTTTTGGTCCAAAATTAGTCTTTTTGTCAACAAATTGGACGTCCACATTACATACATTTTGTACGTACATAATACATTATATTAGGTCATACCATGTACATACTTTCAGTATGTACAATGTATATTCAGTATGGACCGAAGCTGGAGGTCATGTTTGATTGCTGCTGCCGACTGATCTATGGTCAGTATACTAAAGCGGTTGCCTCAGTGAAAGCAGTTTGTAAATGCCTGGCGTAATTCCAAATGTAAAAAAATGAATCGCATAGTTATTAGCTGATTTGTGTGTTGTATGTCAAATTGATTAGCTAATATGATATGGGTTTAATTTTTTTTACATTCAGAGCTACGTCACATTTCTATAAACTTCTGCGAATGAGGCAACCGTTTTAGTAAACAGACCGTGTGCTGTCTGGCGTTTTCCCTCAAAACTGAAGAGTCGAATGCTGAAGCATTATGCTTCCCATTGTTTGTTGAATATAGAAATGATTGTTTTTAGTTAACTTGATATGGAACAAGAAATTAAGAAATTTTATTTTAACTGTTACATACAAATTCAAAATAAATCTTATATAGATGTAGTGTTGGGTGAAAACTAAAAACAATATATTTTAAATATGAATTAATTTATTTTAAAAGTTAGGTCGAAAGAAGATAAAAGTAGACTTATTCTTTTTCATTTTTTGCCCTCTCTGCAGCTCTTTTAAGCCATTTCGAGATCTCCACCTCTACATCCTTGACAGTAGCTTGTTTATGAAGATGCATAGCAGATTCTACAAGAAATGTTATATAGTATAATTAGGTATTTATACCTTATGCAGCACAAAATGTACCTATCAACAAATGATTCATCTTAAGAATTTTAAAAGATTCTTTCTGTCGCTTTCCCAAGTAGCTGAACTTGATGCGAAGCTATTTGTAATTAATGTTCTCCCAGCTCTATAAATAAAGTCATACAAATGCTTCCCTCCTAATTGAGATACTTCATGAACCTACAATTAATAATGCAATGTATATAAATTTGCAGCAATTCAAGAACTACTCACTGCTTTTTAAAATGCTTTCTCATTTTCAATGAAGTAAGCTTCAAATTCTTTTAGCTTCTCGACACCATCAATGGGTAGGTTAAATTTAAGGGAAATGGATTCCGCATCTCCTGTTTCTACGTCAACCTGATGGTTTCTCAATAATACAGTCTCCATTTTAATTAAACTTTCCTTTATGTCCGTTACTACCAGCTGTAATAACTCTTGCTTTCTTGTGAGCCTTAACAATAGGTCTGCAATAGTAATCATAAACCAGTGGAGTACAAAAGAAAAAACTTATTTTAGCACTTACTATAAACATCTTTAACTCCAATTTCTTTTTGATTTGGTGTTTCTAGTGTATGGACAACGGTTTTGTCACAATTTTTGTCAAGCATAGGCTGTTGTACTTCGATATAAGTACGTTGTTGATCATTGCGCACTTGAAAAGTGTTTGCATTTATTTTTTTAAATTATAGGATATATTATAGGAATACCTTTTTGAGTTTTTCTACAAATTGGAGATGTAATCCTGAAAATTACCGCCAACAAATTTGAGGTTACGTACAAAATAAACCGCGAAAATACTTCATACAACGCCTGCAACAAATTATTTAAATTCATTCCTCATTTTAACTACTTGCAATTATTATTTGTTTACCTGTAAAAGTGTAATCCATAAAATAACTACACTACAACAAAACAAAGCATTAAACAAATGGAACCTGTAAAACACGTAACGGGACCATATATATTCTTCTCTTATATATATGAACGGGACGAGTGTCGAGTTCTACCAACTACGAAAAAATTAGCCGCCGCTACCAACAGTGTAAACTGTAAACGCGAATAGTAACACAAACCGAAGATATGGCGTACACTGAACAAACGGTGTTGTAGCAACATAGGACGTCTTAACACGTACGTACGATGGATGTACAAATTTGGTAATAAGTCTTACGCAACAACAATAACTCATAAATGGACGTACACGGTACATACGTGTACCTTACGTACATGGAACGTGTGCTGCTGTACGTATGATGGAAGTACATATTTAGTCCAAGGACGTATGTACTAATAACAGCTTAATAACGGACGTACATAAAACGAACTGTGCTATCTGGGGAGAGAATAAGACTGAATGAGTGTATAAATGAGGCGTTTTATTGGTGAGTGAGATGTTTAGTCCACGAGCGCAGAGAGTGGACTAAATTCGAACGAACCAATAGGTAATCGCCGATTTATACATGAATATATATATTAAAGTAGGTACTCGGCCCCTGCCTCGCACTTCAATATTTCCTCGCCAGTAATGTGTCATTTTCCGGACTTTTATGTAAGTAACTATTAATGTACCTACGCTTAAATCCTACCCTATATCTTGCATTACTCACTTCTATTTTTACGCAAGAGAGCGTCTAGGAATTTATTCAAGATTCATTGAACTGCTTAGTATTATAATAAAGTGAAGTGAAAGTGTATTTTCTTCTGGAGATTATTAACGAATAAAGGAAATGAACACAGAACCTAATTATCATGGCGAATCATCAGTAGCATTATGCAATTCGCTCTTATTGAAAGTAGAATTTAATTTTCAAGTTTCAATTATTTCAAAAAAGCATTAAGATATATACTACAAAACTCACCACTAGCCAAGGAATCGATAAAGATGATAAGAAGATCCTTACCTAAAACAGAAAAAATAATTAGTAACGCATGCGTAGTCACTATTAATAATTAACATCTCTCCCTGACGATGATATTCAAGGTAGTTCCTTAAAATATAAATAAACATTCGCTTAACCTCTATTATAGCTATCAAATCATAAAACGTGCGTATGTCATGGTGTTTGGTAATGACGTGGGTGGGGTTTTTGAATTCGTTTAGTGAAAGAGTACCTAATGATGGATTAGTGAACGAAGATACGAACTCACCGTATGGGGCAAAATAATGAGAGAGTGTGAAATACCATTGTTGTTCGTTGAAGAGACACCAAAACACGCAGAAGGTCACATAAATATTAAGTCGAATCATACGGATAATACCTATCAAAAACAAGGCAAAGTAAAACCGGCATGTATAAGTTCAAGCACTTGCACTAAACTAAAACAGGTAAACTACACCTTCATGAGAAAACTTCATTGTGACGCCTACTACATTCAATTAGTGTTTTTGTTTACAAGTTATATAATTATAGTTGACGTCAGCGAAACGCCGAATCAAAGACAATTTGTAAAGATTACAATTGCATTTCAGTGAACGGTCGATAGAATTTCCTAAAGTTTGTTTAATTAATTAAACAAAAGGGCTAAATTCACATGCGAACTTACTGATCATAAAGTTGCTAATTACGCAGTTTACTAACAAAGCCCGGGGGCCGTATTAATTTGTCTGAATAAGGACAAATACCATTTAATAACTCGTTCGATTGAAGGTAACACAGCATTGATGAAACTGTGTCAAGCTTGTCGAGCACGAGTTGCTACAGAAGTGCCCAGAACGTAGTGTAAAATAAACGAGGAAAAATTTATACATTGACGAGGGACTAAAACTCAGAGTTTCTAATCAACCTATTCTAAAATATTCTTATTGTTCATCAATATAACAAAGCCTGTTTAATTACTCCATTGTATTTGTTGGCGAAGAAATGGAACGAAGAATATTTGTGCTTACGTCACCTAACGAGCTTTTTCTTTTATTTACTACGTACGTATGTACCTACATACCTTTAATGATGTTAGTTGTTCAATATGATGTTTCCGTTACGGTTGGAAACCTTCATTGTTTGTTTGTTATGATTTGGACGTATGAACGCATTGTATTGGTTGAATCATTAAAGAAAAAAAATCAAATTATAATATATTTTCTGTACCTTAGCTTAGTGAAATTTGTAGCGGTCACAAATAATTATTATGTTAAGGAAATAAATGTTCACTTTCTACATCCAGTTTCTAAGCGTTCTTGTGCATCGGCGTTTTCCAAACGAAATCGCGGCGCTTCCGTATCGGTTTTTCTGGACGGCTACCAACACATTAGATAAAAATGGGGGGGGGGGGGGAAAA